AACTCCGGCGACTGCCGCGTGTCCTTGGTAGAATTACTTGAGTACTGTATGGGCCAATATACTTCCCGCAACAGCCTTCTCATCTTGAACCGAAGACACTTGTTCCTGACGAGGTAAATTCCACTCTGTTATTCTTTTAAGTCCTAGTGGTCCACTATCTTCTACCCATCCCATGATTGCTCAAACTGGCCCTTTGTGGTACCCATAAATGGGTACAAATTAGTCGTTCTACAGACTGTACTCTCACTTCCGACGCCATATGTTGTGGACCTTTTATGAAGCCTATCAACTCATACAGGAACTCTAGCCTAAGCTTACAATTCGATCGCAGCGATCTTCAGCAAGAGGTCAATCACTTCTACGTCGGAGTCGTCTTGCTCTCTGTTGTCTGCGTCAGTAGCGTCATACTCCTCAACACCACGAATGGGGGCAAGAAGGCCCGCCTTCTGCCAGCAGTGTGCGATGGTAGCAGCCGACGTAGATTCCCACAGTTCCTTGCTCCACTCCATCGCTTGGAGCTGGTCGATCTTATACACTAAACGTCCATCCACGCCTTCTCCAGAGTCAAACAAGTCCATAGCTCTATCAATCTGCATCGTCTGGAACCGGGACTTAATGGATGCGATTATACCTGCGTCCAGTGGTTGCAGATAAGTGGTAGTGTTTGGAGGCAGGTGCTCGACTTTCACGTTCGTCAACATGAGGTCCTTTGACGCGTGCGAAGACACGTTGTCGACAAGAGAAGAATGTGCCGCTGTGCTGATCGCATCTCTCTATCGAGGTCGCGCACCCACTCCTTGAACACGTCGGAGTTCATCCACGCTTTGTCTGTTTTCCTGCAAAGAAATCCGTGTTCTTCCCCCGTTTTCTTGCCAAAACAGCGTGGCTTCACAGCACGCCCAACGAACAAAGCTGGCTGTGTGTCGCTACCGTCGGCGTTGGTGGTAAGTGCAAGTGTAATACGCGTCTTGTCCTTCTTAACACCGGGCATACGAGATGAGCAAATACTGCGCGTGGGTGCAGCCTTGTAGTTCAGTCCGGTCTCGTCCATATTGTACGTGTCCTGGGGGGCGTACATGTCAGTAAGCTCGTGAAGAGCGTGGCGCCCCTCGCGTACCTTATCGTGGTCAGCTGAGCCAGCTTCTCCGTGCCTTGCTCGATATCGTAGCTCGTGTCTCTTCAAAAAGGCTGACAGCCAACTCACAGACAAACCGAGATCTAGCGCGGGCCCACCAATTTCGTAACGCAGTCGTTGTGCCTTCCTTCTAATGACCTTGCGATTCAGGCACATGCCGCACTTTTCAGCCCTTGTTACCCACTCCTCCAGTCGTTTCTCAAGAGCTGGAGCCTTCACCTTAAGTGGCTTTCGTCTCTTTCCCTTGCCATACTCCCCTTTCATGATGATTTCGCCGTTCTTCAGGATGTCGGAGACGGTATTACGCGCGGGTGCCTTTGCCAGGCGAAACGCTTGCTGCGCCCATTCAGCAAGCTGTGTCTGCGTCATTCCAGGAGCCTCACGACTCTGGCGGATAAGGGAACGCTTGTTATCGATGGTCATCCACTTCCCATACTACTCACTTGTCCAATGTGTGTTTGCTTTCAAATTTTCGCGCGCGCGCGAAAATTCCCTGTTCAAGATGATAAGCGTTTGGTCAGGATACACAGTTTTTTGATAACTTATATTTCAAATCTGCAAATCTGTTGCAGTGTATAAATTTTCTGCAGCGTCGGAATCAAGAGTACAGTCTGTACTACCACTTCGAACCGGGGTTATCGAAATGGTTGCACCATATCGGAATAGATCGGATCGCAATGATTGCACCTTGTCGATCCAGTCTTGACCAGAATGACGGTGCCTCCAGAATGATGGTTCGAGTCAGAATGATGGTTTTGGTTGCGCACTTGAAGTAGGCGACTCCTCGCAGCTGATTGGTCCATTTCCATCCGTCTCACATTCTCCAAATTTCTCAAGCGCTCACCACAATGGCATGAGTATCAAATCGGGTGCGGCGAATTAAAAGCAGCGAAAGACTTTACAGCTGTTCAACGAGGCGCAAACAAGTTTGCATTCTCACGGATGAAATTGTTTTGGGATATCGTGTCAAAACTACATCGGTCTGGTTGAGTGACACTGCAATCGACAAAATCTATGCTGTGTATGGTAGGCAGCTTTCGGTAACTAGCATATTACTAGCTCTACGAAAAGATCGGGATCGAAGAGGACACCCAAGTCTGCGAGTGAGAGCTCACCCACTTCAACGCAACTACTTTTTTTAGCCAATCAAAACATGGTAGCATGTTGCAGCACAACGCCCCTGCGTCATGTGGAGTGTCAGCCCTATATCGGGGACAGAGATCCCAACTGGCCCTCCATATACTCATAAGAAGGCGCAATTATTTGTCGAGACCTTGTGCGAGCATCCCATGCAAAATTAGCTATTATAGAAGGAAACCTTCATGTAGTGGAACCAATCAGATTCCTGGAAGTCTCATACTCCCACTCAATTGGGTATAAATGCACAATGATATTTTCCAGACATTCGCATTGGGTATATATCTGATGTACGCTGCTTTGGTTCCTTCGCCATCATTAGGGCATTCTTTATTGCGGTCATCAAGGTCCATCGACTAAACTTCGAAGCCTCGACGCAGATGAGCAGGTACACGCTCGAGTGCGAGTAAACTTCCTGAATCGTGGCCTCGGCCCGAAGAACCGCTCACATGTGCTCCATGCAATGGATGTCTTGGTGGTGATTGTGAGAATCCGGCTCAACGCAGAGTACTGGAGGGAACGGTAGATGATAATGCCAGAATCACTGGATGGCTCTCTCCGACTTGGTCGTCAAGTGTAAGTCGGGCCTCCGCACTAGGTTACAGAGACGGCATAGTACTTTGTCATCCGTAGCATCCGGTATCCTCTAGTATCTTGCGTGTGATTTGGGTCAGCCAGCACAAGTAAGGTGTCCCGCTTATCTTCGTTGCGTTACATTGCTAGGAAGGTTGGCTTAAATCACTTTGTTTCAGTTTTGGTTTATTTACCACCCAAAAGGTGGTCGAGATTCATGGACAATGTTACTGCCAAACTGGTGCAGGGGGCGTGGCTGGGATAATGGATAAGCAATGACGCACTCTAACATGTGTGGTGTAGTGGGATCACCAAATTGTATTTGCCACAGAACTAGGTAAAACGTAGTATACTTTGTGTGTATAGCTGTATACCCGATACGGCAACGAAGGACTTCAAGACTGAGAAATTTGTCACCAACTTAAAACTACAGTCATTGGAAATACAAACTAAGAATAGGGACTTGCATAACATGAACGAACTTCCATTTTTTTTTGCTCTCCGACATTATGTCACGCTTAATTCTGAGGGGTAGGTGCTACCACCCGATTTCTGTCAAACGACATTGTTGACTAGGTTTTTTCAACTTGTAAGTCTAAGGCAAGCGCATTCAAGGTTAGTTTTGGTGAGGAACGGATAGATTAGTTTCAACATTAACTTAATCATCTGCGAATTGGATATACTAACGTAAATCCTAAATTAGACTGTAAGGGATTACTACATAAGGGATTCCAAGGAGTTGAGTAGAAGACGACTTGATGTCATGTTGCGATAAAGGTACGTTCATTTTGCCGACATTAATTTTAAAGGATAATTACCAAGGCGAACTAGAAAACAACTTTTGTCTTAGTTTTAGGTAAAATTGTTCAATTACAAATGGGGAGATGAACCACTTATATGTGTCATACCTTCTCAGGAAG